TTGGCAAGAATAATGGATGAACATAAAAAGAACAAGATGAAAACAGCAAAAGAAAAAAACGCTCTATTAAAAATACTACAGAAAAATTTTGATTGCACTACCGTTTAAGAAATACACGCCATCAACTAGGAATGTATTTCATCATTTCAAAATTTTTCTAAACTTTTTGGCGGTATTCCTCGCTAAAAATACAAAATTTTCCAGGTTATCAAGTGTGCTGAATACGAAAAAGCACCTTTCTTTAACTCTAAATGAACTTTAATTTTTTGTCGGTGATATGCTACATTCTGCTGCTAAAATATAGAAAATTGGACGTCGTACATGTCTGTTGACTATTCCATTCTATCTTGTAAAATAAAACGAAAACTTTTAAACTATTCTGTGGTTCTAAAGGGGCCCCCTTTTCGCTAAAATCTGAGCGAGCAACGGTATAGTAGTAGCAGGATCCTGACAGATACAATCGTACAACAGTTTGGTATTATCTGACATAGAAATGGCATATAACTGGATTTTAATCAATTTTTAACTCTTATATTGAAATGCTCCGGATTTTTTATGAAAATGTTTGAAAATAGTCGACTGACAACAACACAACAACCTAGATAGCGTTGCTCACAAATAAATTTTGTTAATAGTTGATGAAACATAAAACTGATTAATCTAGTCGAAGTAGCTAGTTTTATCGTTTGTTTATTGTTTCAAGTTTGACAATTGTCTAGTGAAAGTACAATCGTAAAACTATGAGTCTTCTTGTCTTTATATTGAGTAGACATCACAACTAGAACAGTCCAGACGTGTATGTATCTCAGAAACCGGAGATAAGGTATTGAGATCTCAGTTGATTCGTATATTTCAAAAGAGATGTGGACAATTAAAAATTACATTTCTAGGTAGAACTAATGACGAGGAATCTGATACACGCTCTACTGCAGTAGAGCAATGTAGCGTTTTGAAATGAACCATTTTATTCCTTGTTGTCTCTACGCTATATCCTAAAACATTCATGTCTGTCGCTTTTGTAATTTCTGAGATAATTAGGTACAATTCAAATAAAATATCCATGCTTAGTGGGATTATTATTTCAACAACGTACAAAACAACTGATCAACACTTCGATCATAACGTCAAAAGCGAATGACACTGTATACAGCAGATATTTGTAGTGGCGGAGCCACCGGGGTACAGTGTGCATTTTTCTACAGGCCAGGCGGACATTTGCTATAAAAGCAGTCCGAAAGTCTATAAATACTTTTTCATAGGTTTTCAGATATGCTCTTTCCAATGGTATGCTTTCAAAGAGATTTTCATCTGGGTTCTCCAGAGACCATGTCTATAGAAAACCTACACATAAGTATTCTGAAACTTTATAAAGCACACCACTGGAAAGAGCATATCTGAAAACCTATGAAAAAAGTGTTTGTAGGCTTTCGAATTGCTTTTATAGCAAATATTAAAATTCTTAGCCAAAACTGCCACGCTGTGCTTCGACTTTAGCATTTCATTAGATCCAACAAGTTTTTGCTCAGAAAAACCTACAAATTGCACCATCATTCGATGCAGTTTCTTGCGCTGATTCGGTTCAAGGCATTTTTATTCAATAAAAGCATTTCTGGGCCGAGATAAATGGGAGATACCTGGAAAACCAAGGGTTTTTTGGAAAATCAGTATCCGAGTCCATGCATATTTGTGCTAATTTGTGCTAACGATGGTGATAACTTTCATATAGGAGAACATTCTGGCAAAGTTTGGCTCAGGTGCAAAGAGGGATGTGAAGGAGGCTCTCATTTTGCTAAACTTAGCCGTTTGGAAAACCACTTAAGAAAAACTTTTATTTTTTTCTCAACATTCTTTAGCTCAAACTGAAAGTTTTTTTACTCATATACACTAAATGATGCGGAGATTCAGAATTAACAAAACATTTGCTGACTGTACTAGTCATTTTTGTGTAAAAAATTAATTTTTCTGACCATCACGTTATTTTCAGGCTAATTTTTAATTAGCTTCCCCTAGACCGAAATCCTGGCTCCGCCACTAGATATTTGCATGGCATTTTGTTGGGTCTTATCGTGTTGTCAAACTCCTGGTATATTGTCGTACTTCTATCTGATATTTTTCAGTAGTATGAAATTCCATCATTATCAACGGGATATGAAACGATGTCAACAAAAATATCCCATGTTGTGGAAACTGCTCGAAAACGATCGGTTCGCGGTTATTTCCGTTTAACTGCACGCTTAACCGTCGGTTTTTACGCTGTGTTGCTATGGTTTCAGTTGAAATAACCGCGGTTCACCGTCGATTTTCTTGAAAAATCGATGATATGGAATGGTAATGATTAGAAGATATATTGTAAGAAGGTTCCATATGCATTTATACCAGGTTTAATCTATGTTATATCATTTAGTTACTTTTGAACAACCTAGTGTAGATTGAATTGATTTTAGGTCAGCTCAGAATTTACAAAAAGGGATTGTCTCGTCAAAGAGTTATACATTTTAGCTAAGAAATTGAACTATAAATAAGTGCAAAACGTTTTTTCGTCTTCAGATATTGTTAGTTTGTGTTTCGTAAGTGTATTTGTACAGATGAACAACAGATGATTTCCCTTCAACTGAAGAAACTCAGTGGGCATGCTCTACATCGACGTATTCATGACATTCAAAAACAACATTGTAGTAATCAGATAACTATGATAAATCGTAGCACTCCGTTATCAGTTATTATAACACTTCCGCTGTGTTTTATCGTACAATTGAAATGTCTGCGTCAAATTGAGCTAAATCCCTGAATCGTGTAGAGTGATCAATGCAGCTGAACGACCTACATTCATTAAATAATTTATTTCAAACATATTATTTTTTAAAGCAAACATGAGACACAATTGCTAAACACAATTTTCCTAATAATGATGTCCTACAGATTTCTTTTGGAAGTAAGTCGTGTAGTTATAGTTGAGTGAGTAATATTTGTACCTGTTCTCATTATAACCTATAAAACATTAAGATTAAACACTGTGCACTTCTGATACCGGTGAATTTCTAGGCGTATTTGATTTTGATATACGTTTTTTTGTACTACTGAGTATTTCCAGTGAACAACTGATAATCACAGCTAAACATCCAGTCTTGCAGAATTCTGAACGGGTGGGCACAAGAATTTTTATGCGTATTCTTCACGAAAATAAGATCTCTCGAAATTGTCGAATAGTTTGATTCATTGAGGTACCTGTATGATGTCTTACTCGGTTCTATAATATCAATATTTATATAGTATTTAATGCAAGATGCGAAAAGGATAAAAATTAGAAACCTGTCAGGAAAAGGCCCTGAATTTTGAAGATTTGCATGCTTTTAAATATTCTAGTATTCTCTTACGAAGCTTATAAGATGAAAAGTGACGTCGGAATGTTAACCTTTTTCTCGTATGTATTAGAGTAAATCACCATTCATCAGAACTTTCTCAGATATGGAGACCTTTTATGAAAAATCTATAAAGAGCTATAATCAAAAATAGAAAAGCAGCCGACAAGTTTTTACCACATGGATTTATCTGAATTGAGAGTAAACTCGTTCTCTGAGTATTCTGTAGAGGCGTCCATTTTCATATCTACGATCTGTTTAGATTTTTAACAAAGCGTCAAAAAATCTATAAGAGAAGTAGATAGAGTACTATGGGGTGAAAAGAGTCGGTACACGAATTCTCTTCGTAATTTCACTATTTTTCATCCGTCTTTAACTGAAAAAATTCGATATTAACCACTATGCTAGAGCCGGTAATTATATACGCACTAGTACAAAATATTTCTGACAATTTAGATAGCGTCTATCAAATAGAAAAAAGTTGCTCAAAAGATGAAATTTCCTAAATATCTTTTCCATGATAGAAACTTCATACTTTTTCCCAGGAATGTATTACATAATAAGGGGTGAACACATTATTTAATTTACTTGCTGTTAATTTAAAATATGGATTATATTACGACTAGAACGTCATCAAAATTATCTTGAGTTTATATGGTTGGATAGAGGAAGAGTAGAGCTTCACAATGATATAAATGTTAATTAATTAGCACTCATTGTTAGAATTCTTTAGATGTATTTGAATGGATTGACTCTGTTTACCTATCGACATAAGTGAGTTGACTCTTTTTACTCCGTGTGGGGTAAAAAAGAGTCAATCACAACCGCTCGACTCTCATTTGAATTTATCTCGAAAATCAATATAAATTTTCAAGAAATTTTTGCACTAGTGCGTACATAATTACCGTCTCTATCATCCTGGTTATTATCCGATTTTCTCAGCTAAAAATGGATAAGAAATAGTGAAATTACAAAAAAAATTTCGTGCACTGACTCTTTTTACCTCATAGTACTCTAGAGAATGAAATTAAAGAGTGATCTAATCTGTCAAAGTAGCTTTATTTTTCTATTAGTTGAACACTATCAAAATAGCAAAAAAGAGAACGTTTTGTACAACACTGTCTTTTCTGTACAATATAACTTTGAAGAGAGAAAGTAAATATGTACTGCTATACAGTTATCTGTCAAAAAAGAAAAACAATTTGACATAACTCTATATTGTCGTACATCTTTTCATTCTATGCATGCTGGCTGCGTCACTGATTTGTCGACTACATTTTTACAATGGCAAACTTCAGCATTTTAGTAGTGAAGAACGAACCAAAAAGAAGTGATTTTTCTACAGTCATTTAATAGTCGACAATTCTTACTCTTTGACGTAAAAAATAAACATTTAAAAAAAGATTTAAGTTTATGAGCTTATACGAGTTTCCTATACTTTCAAATATCACACTCATCTAGCCATTTTGTTGATAATATATACTGTACGTTGTAAGATAACTTAGTAGCGTATGGAAAGTTTGATAATTGTGTTTGTTTTCAGGCATGCATCTATTATTTTTATTTCTAACTTCTTTGACAGTTCATCTATGCGTCGGTCTAGAAGTATGTTCGACTGTTAATTGTTCATTACCTGCTTGTATGTGTTTGACAACAAAACATCCAATAAAACAAGATATCAAACAATTACCTCAGTTGGTGAGTAGATTTGATTCGCTTTTTATAAGTTATATAATAAAATTCTCATTTTTCAGATATTATTAAGTTTTGTTGGAAATTTGAATAAATATTCGTTGGATTCGATTCGAACAATATTAAATCCTGTTCACCGTAATCCAAACAAATGTCCAATATCGAGTACATTTATTGTTAATGACAATTACACAGATTATTGTCTTGTACAACGTTTATTTGACAACAACAACGAAATAGCTATAACAGCAGCAAGCAACAAGTATATAAATATTCTTTCTCATCAATATTTTTTTGTCATTTATTTCATTTATATTTTTTTAGATGTCCACTAACAAATTGTTATGAAGAAAATTCATGGATTGAATGGGGTCAACGTAAATGGATTAATGAAATTAAAATACAACGTGAAAATGTTGCTCAAAAAGCTCATATTCATTATTCACATATTAAAGGTTTTCGTACACCTCATTTACAAATCGATGATAAACGACATTTACATATAATGCGAGATTTTAGTTTTAATTATGATTCATCAATGGTATTTTCAAGACTTAAACGTAATGATCAAGAAAATATAACATTACCATTATGGCCATTTACATTAGATTATCAAGTTGGTAATATAGATTTAATATGTGATAATTGTGGTAGTGGAAATACAACATTTCAAGGACTTTGGGAATTTCCTTTACATCACTGGCATCATCCAAATAGTAAAATATTCTATAAAAGTAATGTATAACATTTGATTGTTAATCCCGTCTTTCATTTCTTTCAGCTACCGTAAAATGTCGTACATTAGCGGATGATCACTCGCAATGTTTTCCAAATGGTGAATCAGTTGATTTATTATATGAACTTATCATGTATAATTTTAATTTACATTATAATGTTAATCGTGCACCATTTGTTATTGAACTTGATCTATATTGGTTACATAATAATGATCAACGTCAAGAAGCAATTGTTCGTTTTATTGAAAATTTATTAACAAAAAAAAATGATGATATCTATTTTGTTTCAATTTCACAAGCTCTTGAATGGATGAAATATCCACGTTTAATTAATGAAACTAAAACGTTTTGGGCATTTCAATGTGGTGATACAAAATATGATTATGATATTGAATGTACTGACAATGATGATAATAATATGAATGGAGATTTAAAAAATGCTAAAGATAAAGAAGAAACAATTGTCGATTATCAAAATGAACAATTGTTTCGTAGTGGAATGCTATTTCATTGTACATGGATATTTTTATTATTAATTTTAGCGATTATATTCTATGATAAATATTTGGCCAAATAAAACAGTAAACTAGTCGTCTTCTTTTATTTAGTAACGATTGTTTTCTTTTTCCGTAAATTTTAATTAAACTAGCGCACAATATGTGTAGCAGATGATTAAATTAATTTCATTCAGGGGCTTCTTTCTTCAGAAATGCATCTTAGTAACGGTAAGTCCGGTCTCAACTAAACTTTCAGACAATGTTTACCTTATGATCGTACAATGAAACTTTCGGAACGGCATCTATCTCCATTTCGAAGATGTCGCTCCACTAGGTAGGTGTCGAAATGCGGCTATTCATAGCTTTTTTTACAGATTTTAATGCCCTTAGTAAAACTGTCATAACTTTTGATTAAACACACAATCGTTCAGTATTGGAAGACATAAAAAAACTGTAATCAGAAGTGACGTTCTAGTTACATTTGTATACATTCTCCGATTTATTTTCATTAATTAAACAGAAATATTAAACGAAACTATGAGGTTAAAATTATAAAATGAGTAACAAAAAGTTTTTATGTACAATATACTTTCCTAGTAAAAGCTCTATGAGTTTCCTGACAGGATCCGAGACATATCCTACCAATATCCTACTAGGATTTTGCTTTGATTTCTTAGGATCACAACAATATCCTGCAAAATTCTAATGAAAATCAGACATACCCGAAAGGCAGAGAATTTTCTAAGATTCTGTTAGAATCCTAAACAAACTTAAGCGAAATCCTAGTAGCATCCTAGCATTGTAGGATCATGCTAGAAAGTTTTAGATGGATCCTAAATATTCGAACCCTGTAAGGTCTTAGTAGGAAATAAACAGGAAGCGCATAGGATTTTGTCTAAGATTAGGGCAGTCAAAAGTTGTCATCTAGAAAAAAGACGCTGTTGGTTAAGATTGCACTCTCATCCTAGATTCCTATATCATCGTTAACATCGTCACAACTGTGATGCATAAGAATCTGTCATCAGAATACTCCAAGGTTCTTTTCTTTCTTTTTCATCAAGATACCTAAACAGGCAGAGATTCGTATAAAAAAGAAGTCTTTTAATGAATTTTTTTTAATACATCACATCGGAATAAAGATCTCTAATTAACATCATTTTGCAGAGAAAAATCTGAATCTAATACTGAAATTTTGTTGTACAAATATCTTTTATTTTTCGAGTTGTAGCTGTTTTATTAAACTTCAGCCTGTTTGGGCATCTTGTTGAAAAAGTCCAGTTTTTTCTGAAAGAAAAGAACCTTGGAATATTTTGATGATAGATTCTTGTCGTTAAACCAACGGCGTCTTTTTTTGCTAAGCGACAGAAGTTTTGAACTGTCCTAAGTGAGTAAGTAAGTATGTGATAGAAATGCTTTGTCTAAAACTTATAATCGAAAACTGTTTTTGTTAAGTGTATATGGATGCAAATATTTTTGATATTCATCGTATGAATAATATGCACAAACCTGAAGTTCATTATTTAATTGTTGAAATTGTTTTAAATAACGATAGTTATCAAGAAACAAAATTGAATTTGGAGGTATTGTTAATATATGACGATGACGAGTATTTAATAGAGTGGTTTGCCACGAACTAATTAATGTATTGTTACTAATATTATTGTTCATATATGAAAGATTATATCGAATAACAGGTTTTCCATCAATATAAGTTACAATAGGAATTTCTACATGATATAATTCATTTGAAATATTGGCTTGAAATACGAATGGTTGTTCAATTAATTGTTTTATATATGTTGAATGAGATTTTAGTATTAAATAACCGTCAATAATTGATAATTGTTGTTCATTATTAAATGTTCGAATGGCAATAACATATGGATTTGAATATAAAAACGGTGCATCTGTATGCCAATGTTGATTTTGATGTAAATTGGGAAAATAATTTGATCCCAATTCATGTTCAGTTGTAAAACGTGATAGAATATTTTTAATAGAATTATATTTAGTCGATGCAACAACGATTAGATAACCAGAATTACTGAATTTTTGATAAATTAATTTCATTTTTGAATTATCTAACGTTAGCCATTCGTTTTCATGTAAAATGACTGGTGAACTAAATGAAGAAGAATGATACGGCCAGTTTACTGATGCAGAAATTGTTAAATATTTTAAATATTCAAATGAATAGATCGATTCATGATCATCAGGCCATTTTATTGATACATAACCGGTTAACTCATCAGTATTATGATCGTGGTTAGAAGTCATATTTTCATCGTGTGCTGGTAGCGATAATTGAAATGAAATTGGAAAATTATTTGTCAAAAATATGTTGATAGATTCTGGTCTTAAATCTTTGTTGATATTCCAACTGAGATTATCCGTACATTGATCAGTTTGAATATTGTAACATTTGATGCATGAACATTGATCTCTTAACCATATGTAAGGAATAAATTTTTCAATATTCGGTGAAATAATTAATTTAATTTTATCATTAAAAAAACGTAATGGAAATTGTTTTCCAAGAATTTCGCTTGAAGGTGCTTGACAATAGATATCATGCACTAATTTCGTGTAACTTCGTCTGAGAAATCGAGCAGAATAGAATGACGAAAGAAATTTTAGTGATTGTAACATGACTATAATAAACTGTTAGAATGTTAAGTTATTGTACTGAATTAATTATTAATTGTACTTAATTAATTAAAACTTTCTATATCATTTTATATCGGTTACTAAACTTACATATCAAAGTCTACTTTTATACAGGATAAAAGATGATAAATTCAAAAGACACAATATACAGGTCACTATTATATTATGAATCATTACATTTGACATTTAACCTTAATCTTATGTGTTGTCTTATCTAACAGGTGATAATAGTATTTGTTTACTGATAAACAGATTCAGCTTTATAAATGGGTAGAACGCTGGTTTGAACTTGAATATATAAGATGAATCTAAATAAACTGAAGTAATAGATAAGCTGATAGAAATGTATGCGCGTAGAAATAAATACCTACCAAATTTATAACAAGTACAATTTTTACATAATTAAAATACAAACTTATACATAAAGTCCAGTGAATATTGACAAATAAATTGACTATCATTTTAAACAATTACCGCACAAATTCTCGGAAGAATTTCAATTTCAGAATTCAATTTACTTAGTCAAACATAAAATAGACAACAATATAAAAGTTCTTATAAAGTCAACGAAAAATGTAATAGAAGAGAATACCACTAGATCAGTGATTGAGAGAAAATATACTGATCTACTGGTATCACAGGCAAGATAAACGAAAGAGACAGTAGTTCAAGACTGATAAAAAGAAAAAATAACAAAGATTTGATTTACTGCTCTTGATATGAAAACAAACCGTTCAATGTTAGTAGACATATTGTTAAAATTTGGGAAATTTTACCGACTTTTCACGTGTGTGGGACCGTGAAATGCTAACGTGAACTTTCACGAAATTTTGTAGGCAAACAGAGTAAGTTTCACGGCATCGGGATCATGCAGTTGTAACATCAAACGCTTGGGCACGTGTGAAAAATCTTCACACGTGTACACAAGTGAACTACCCTATAAGGTTGGAAATTATTTATGGAAAATGCTCGGCAAATTTCAAAGAGTACCTATGGGCAGAGTTGTAACCGGTCAACAAAATCATGACCGGTACCGGCTGGTCACCGGTGACCGGCGAACATATGCAGACCGGACCGGACCGGCTTTTTTCAAAAAATTTGACCAGTAAGCGACCGGTGATTTTTGCTTTCTGTTCGATATAAATACGCTTTTTTCTGTCATATATTCTAGTTATAAGCCGATTCGACCGGTCCCGGCCCAGCAGTCTGACCAGAACCGGTCCAACCGGCCGGTTGATAAGTCTCGACCGGACCGGGAACGGGCGCCCGGTCCGATTACATCTCTGCCTATGGGAATTCCTCGAGGATTTTCCAGTTTATAGAAAGTCCTCAGCGATTCACCACCTTTATAGCGAATTTATGGAAAATCAACATTTCCTAGAAAGCTGGAAATTCGTCAAGGAATTTATATAAACTAGAAAATCCCCGGTGATTTTTCGATTGATTTTCTATAAACTGGAAATTTATTCAAGATTGCAATGTATCTTCCCGCGTGGCCACTCGTGAAAAAATCGATTCTCGTGTCTATGACCATGAGGACATCTAGTTAGACTATATCAGACGGCTGTTCTAATTGGTCAGTCGCCTATACTTCGACGTTTGCACTAAAAATTGCACACTTGTTCTCGCACACAATCTTTCCAGAAAAAAATTGCTCTGTAAACAATTCTGTGGTAAGGCACACAACTACAGATAAGGCATATATGCTATATGGATTACGTGAACAACTGACGTATGAATAAACGTAAAGGTATTTTTCACAATGACATTAGCGAGAATACGTGCCCGCAAACGATATTTTTCTACGGAAAGGCGACTATGATGTTTTGACCACAAAACGGGATATATGCAGGTTTGTAGAGGAAGATTTCCGCTATCTGATGGTGTATATATTATCAAATTCTGTTGCGTACCGTGAGAGAAAATTAAAGGTAACCCCTCTTTTTTTAGACTCTTTTAGAAATTTTTTTTATTTTTGAGTTAAATATTCTGCATTATAGAGTAAAGTGTCCTCTACAAAGTAAGACCACTTCCAGCTTTCCAAGACCTTCCGTTGAGAAGATACAAATTTTTTAAAGTTTGTTACTTTACGCTGAAAA